GGCTAAGATACTTATAAGTATCTCGCAAGAAAATCTAGAAGCCTTCGTGTTAATGTTAGTGGAGAAGGATTTTTAAACGAAATGCATTCTGATGATGTCATTAATATTATTGCTCAACAAAGCAAACTTCTAAATAAAAAATTAATATTGTAGAATATAGACTTGTGCTCATTGTAATTTTTGTCAATGTTGTATTTTGAATATATTTAAATATAAATAGAAAAAATACATTTTTTTATTTGTGGGCTGCGCTGGGAATAAGTTTTCCACACAAAAATTTTAGGGCCAGTCCGCCCCTGCATGTAATAGGGCTTTTCTGGAACCAAGTAATGATACGTAAAAATGTGAGGCCCTATACCTGAAATACAGAATTGTAAAGTAAGGCCCTCAGTTGCAGTCTATATAAATCCCTTGCGTGTGAGCGCCCTTATAAACTTACATTTAGCCTACAATTTGCAGTTTAACACGCAGCCTTAGCACGCATGTTAAACTCTTCTCTGACTGCGGGTCCTCCATCAAAATAACTTAAATTTTTTCCTTCTTACTTAGTTCCACGCTGTATCCGTAAAAGAATAAACCAGGATCAACATAGTTCCAGTGGTTCTAAACTTATGGGACACCCGTTTTTCTATTATTTAAATGAATAAATTATAGTAAAAAAAACAATATTTAATTGAAGAGTCAACAAATGATATATTTATTCCATAAATTCTAATTTTTCATTTAGTATGTAATATATAATTCTTTAAAAGTTGAAAATTGTATTGAAATAACTATAATTTTTATTTTTATAGTTTAATTTCCATTGACAGCAACACAAAGTGTACCCTTTGTGTTGCTGTCAATGGGCGCATTGTTAAAGCGGCTTCAATACATCTGGATAAGGAAACCAATGATACAGTCCGTATTAAATGAAAAGGGCTGTGTCGTGGCTGGCTAATTCAACTGTATTAAAGCCGCTCTACCATCAATGCGCCGTAAAACATATCGGGTCGAATGCGTTATCCTAACTGGATGATTAAATCCTACTCAAATATCATTCAAATCAGTGTTCAGTACGTTTTCCCTAAACTCTATTACGTTTACTACGAACTTCGACACAGGATATGCAAGATCCTATAGTTAAGTTTAGTAACTAACTAAAATCCAGCCCTACGAGACCAAGATACACCCTGGCCGTTTAATTTTTCAGGGCCCAAATACATGTATACAATTTTTTCCCAGCTGTTTTCTTATTTAAAAGTTTTTAAATAAAACAGAATGAATGATTTGGATATATATTTTGAGGATCCATAAACTTGGACCAAATATCTCGTACAGGGTGTTTAGATAGGTTTATTTGGTTACGCCTCCCGGGAGGACGTTTTATGGGAAATTGTCTCCTATTTAGGTGTTACAAAGGTAAAGAAAACTCGGAAAAATCCACGTGACCAGGCGCGAACCCAATGTTCAATAGTTTCATCCATTCGGCTACTGGTGGGCGTGTAGGGTGTTAGAATCGATTGTGAAAGGCCTTGCTAATTAAGAAAATGATTACCGGTATATGATATTAATTAAACAGTTCCTGTATTTTTATGGTTTTACTTGATTTACAAATGTACTTAAATTTAATTTTAGAAATACATTTTTTGTGGGCCGTTCATCAAACGCATCACAGTTCTGAAGAATTTAATTTATCCACCGCTTTAAGGCAATCCGTTCCACAAGATTTCGTGATGTGGTTAAGCAAGATTTTGTTATAATGTATAAAACATTAACAAATCAAAATTAACCTTTATACCAGGGGTGTCCAACCCGCGGCCCGCGGGCCGCATGCGGCCCAAGGCAAGTTCCAATGCGGCCCAATAAACGTGTAAACAAAACCGACAAATGTTTTAATTTTTTTATTATTTATTTATTTCAACGGCATAAACTCAAAAAAAAAGTTTCACAAAGTCGTAAACCTTTATTCATATTTTTTTTTTCAGTGGAAAGGAAATATTTTCAAATACTTTGAGATGTGTGAATGAGGAAGGATTACTAAATAAAGCTGGAGTTGTGACTCAAAGGATTATAGACCCAAATTTGGGAAAAGGAGGGAAAGATGAGAAAAAACAAAAGATGTAGTAGTGAGAAAGGTTAAATAGATCTTCTGTTGACCCTTAATTTTCCAACCTTTCTCACTTTTTTATCTTTTGTCCTTTCTCTCCTTTCCCTGCACTTGGGTCTATAATCCTTTGATTCACAACTCCAGTATTATTTACTATTTTTTCCAACGTTGCAAGATTTGGCTACATTGCGCCAAATGTGGCTACTTTTTTTTGTTTGATGTAAA